CGTGCGAGCGAGAGAGAACGCAAGGGGCACGAAACAGAGTATGTCCTTTTCTACGTGCACCTCCTTAAATAAAGGCAAACGCTCGGTCTAGATATACTATGTCTATGGTGGTAACAATCTGCGGTGAAAAGTTTACCCCTTTGACTGCGTTCGGAAACATCATCCATGTGCACACGAGTGTCGTTCTATCTTTGTCCAACTTTTAGTAAATAACAAAGATAGAACAACGCTTGTGTACATATGGGTGGTTTTCGAACGTACTGTTTATGAGGACCACCAGACATACCTAACTTCCGATGTGATGCCGAGTAAGTAGTAAGTGTAGGATGTAAGTAGTTGTGAGTTGTGGATAGTTGTGAAACATTTTTATATAAATATAATATTATCCGTGTTTATATTTCCAATTAATTGAATTAAGAAAATAAATAGATCTTATCTAGAATGGCACAGGAAGTGCTGAGGGAACTAGAAGCCGCGGCGCAAGTCGTTTTGGTGAGTCGAGTTATCAAATTTTCTCTTTATTTTTTTCTAAATGGTTTATTATAACCTTACATGCACATATTTTCTCGAAAAATATAAACAACTTTTGAAATCAATAAAAATCGAGATGTGTGTGAAAGTATTCTTCAAAAAAAAAGGAACAAAAATGCCCGTTTTTTATCGATAAACAAAAGAAAGAATATACTGCTCGTTGATTCTTATATTTATAATGAATATTTTAATAAATACAAATATATAACATTAAATATAAATGCAAATTTATAATATTAACACACGTTGAGCTATTATCAGCAAAAAACAATGCTCTCCCTCTCTCTCTATTTCTCTTGTATCCAAAATTATTTATATTTACAAAATTTTGTTTGGGGGTTAAGATACTCTCTCTGTACCATGTGATCTATTTTAGATATTTTCTAACAGAAGAGAGAAAAAAAGCAAAGTGCTGATTTAGAAGCTTTTTAAGACTCAATAGATGATGCACATATATGCCATGCGAAGTAAAACAAAACAACAACTGTCCCTAGAGTATTTGACTCATGTTATGTAATTTCTTATTTCTTATACATTTAAAATTTAAAAAAAGCATAATCTCTTCTCTAAAAAAAGAACTTATTAATTATTAAAACAGTACACAATGTTTAATTTGCTTCAACTCGATAACATTCAAATTTGTGATATATATGTAAAAAAATAGAACAATAGTAAACAACAAAAATAATCATTTCATAAAGAAAAATAGAAATTTAATAAATTATGTGTTAAAATTGTATAAATACAAGTATATTTCAGTGTATATAAGTGTGTAATTTTGTGTATGCATGTGTGTATATATAATTATCTTTTAATTATATAAATTGTTTTTTCTTTGTTATTTTTATGTGTTTAAAATTGTAAAATATTTACAAATGTAAATAAAATTAATACAAATTTTTTTTTATTTATCTTACTTTTAGGCACCTCCAAATCTAATTTCGGCAGAGCAACGTCAATCCGCAGAAGCTGTTTTTTTAAATTTTCGAAAAACAAGGTTACCTTATCAGCTGTGTCGTCAAATTTTAGAATTAAGTACTGTAGATTATGTACTATTTGAAACAGCTGGTTTGATAAAGACGGCTCTGGTACAAGAATGGCCTACTCTATCAGAGTCTGACATTTCTTCATTGAGACAATATCTGTTACACTATGTCATAGGCAAACCTACTTTAGCGCCATATGTTAGAGCAAGAATACTTCAAGTTATTGCAATAATAATCAAGAGAGGCAGTGTGGATGACTTTGGACAAGAGAGAAGACAAATATTGAATGAAGTAGAATGTTTAATTAGAAATGAAGACTTGCCAAAGGTAAATATATTGAAATAAATACAAAAAAAATAAAGTTGACTTTTTGTATAGGATGCAAAAGAGAAAAGAAAAGGTAAAAGGGACTAATTTCTCATTTGCTAAATTTACAGCGAATTTTGGGGTGCAATATTTTGTCTACGATATTGCAAGAATATGCAACAACTGCTAAATCATCCAATATAGGATTGACATGGGAAGTTCATTTTAAAGAGAAGAAACAGTTTGAACTAAGCGATATGAAAAAAATCTTCAAGCTTTGTATTGAAGTACTCAATGAATTAATAAAAAAAGACTTCGAGGAATCGACATTACCCCTTGTAAAGCATTTACTTTCTATTGTGGAAAGTATACTTGTTTGGGGATTTGTTGATGCAAATTATATCCTTTTATTATTAATCTATTTAGAATTAATATAATGTGTGATAAAGAGAGAGATGGAGGAAGTTTGATATTACACTTTAATTAATTCATATTTCACGTTTAATATTAAGATGGTCTAGAAATTATAATTAACTAATAATTGATGCTAATACATTTTCTATTAAATGTGAGATGTGGAGAATATATTATATGTTTATATGTACCTTAACTCCATTGCACTACCTAAAAGATTACTGCATGTGTGCGAAATTTATGATTTCGGAAATAATCCACCACTGAGATTACATACACAATGGCAAGATATAATATTAGACCCAGCAGTATTAGATCTACTGTTTACATTGTACTGGAAAGTACGAAACAATCCGCAACTAGCTCATCATGCTATGAATTGTCTGGTGCAATTATCAAGCTTACATGGCAGAATCTTCACTACGGAGCAAATAAAACTGCAGTATTTGACAAATTACTTGCAACGATTCTTAAAACTTGTATCAAATATCCATGTTATCGATCAAGAGGCAAATGGAATTACCAATATTATAAAAAAGATTAATTGTTTCTTTCAAAGCTCATTAAATTCTCTTTCTGAAGATTTATTGAAGTCATTTATGGAACAAATGACAAGATTAACATGCTTATTCATAGAAGGTGCCGCACGAGAAGAATTGGTAATTATTATTGCATGTATATATAATGATCCAAAATAATGCTTGGAGTTTTTTAGTGATTGAGTAATTGAAACAATCCGAATTTTAAGTTTAAATGGTTTGGATTTTTGTATAGAAAAAAAATTATACATTATATATATATATATTGAATATTATACATATTGACAAAAAAGATTAATATACTGTTGTACTGTTTGCAGATGTGTGCTGATGATTGTTTATATTCGGAAGCTGTGGAACGTATATTTGAAACATGGATATGTATTTTATCTACGACATATATATTTCCATCAGATTTTTGTAAGCAGAGCTCTGTTCAAATATTTAACACATATCTGCAATGCCACTTGTCACCTCCCGATGGTGTGAAAGGTGTCAATAGTAAAAATATTAACGAAGAAATAGTAGATATGGAAGAAAATGATAAAGTCAAATTTAAGGAGCAGTTACAAATAGTTGGTAAATACTCTTGGAAGTTATTTGTGTATTACTCAATCTATGCTAATTAAAACATATTTTATTATGTGGATCTGTAATAATAACATGTTTGATTTAATTGTAGGAAACTTTGGTAGACAAGTGCCAAATCATTCTTTACCTTTATTAGCACAATTACTCGAAAATCGAATACTTAAATTACGGGATAATGTAAATGCACTGATAGCATCGAATGGAGCTGTACCTGAACCCAACCCTATGAATGATTTGTACGAAGATTTGCATTGGCTTGTTTTAATAGCAGGTCATGTTCTTTGTATGGAATCAGAGGGTGAAGCTGCATTAATACCTCTGGAAATTAGGCGATGCAGTATGGACCAGGTTTATAAGAAAATTGGCCACAATCTTTTTTACATTTTGAATTAGAACAAAAGTATAACATATCCTTTCCGTATTTCAGTCTCGAGAGGGAAATGTTGATGTGAATCATACGTTGGAGTTCTTAGTGTCTTCACAAAATATTCAGTCGGACATAAGCAGTCCTGCAGCCTCGATCGATCGAGTTATTCGATTAATCACGTGCATTTTTCGCTTATGCGCTTTGGAGAAGACTATTATATCGATACATGCAGAGAATGTGCTCAGTCCTGAATTGAGCAGCACAATAATATGGTTTTTACATATATGGTCGCAGAGCTACCTTTTACCGACAGAAGTTTATTATTCCGAGATAAGCACCACAATCTTGCAAGCTTTCGGTGAAGATAGTCCAGGTGCATTGTGGACAATGAATTTTCTTCTGGAAAAAGTAATTTGCAATATCAACACCTTTAAAAGTGAACCAGCTGTAATTAAGGAAACTATAAAATTATTAATAACTCTTGTTGAGTCACAAACGAAGTAAGTATAATGTATCTGTAAAAGGCATCTATGCAATAACCGTATTAATAATTTGTTTAGGGACAACGATACTCTCTTTTTCGTACAAATTAATAATTAACAAATTAAATTCTTAATGGAATTTAACTGGAATGGAAAACCTTCCAGATGGAATCCACGGATTTTGGATTTTGCTAAGATTTTTGCTGAATATTTCGTGAAAAAAAAAAAAAAAAAAAAAAA